TGTGACGTGAAACTTAGCGCTGCAGACTTTATGTTCAAAACTATAAAAACCTCTTTTCAACTGGGGATGAGTTTTTTGCTTCATCCTATTATTGATGGAAATTTGAAGTTCTTTCAATTTAGGTATCGCTCTCAACGCGTTGAAGTTTCCTTAAATGCATTTGAAATTGCTCCATCAGATTCTACTTTAATGTTGGTAAAGTTGTTGGGCGAAGCGATTACTGAAACTGATATTTGCAAGTAAGTTTGCTGCTAGTTGTATTTTTTGATATATATAAAAGATCCGATGAATAGATCAGATTTTACTTTACATTTATTTTTATCAGTCCAATTACCATTCAATATATTTCTTAGTATTAAGTTTCATATTTTAAAATGCTTATTTGCTTAATTATATCAGTAAAGAAAGGAGTTAGAGCCCTCAGCACCATTTAGAAGTAGGACTGATTCTAATAGAAGTCATTAATATTTCGTTTTCTTTACAGTATCAAAGAGAGAAAACTTCACTTTTTTACAACATGTGTTCGGATAGCCTCAATATCTTCTTTCGCGACACTACCTTTATTCAGTTAACCATGCGAAAAATTTACATGATGATCCTTTGGATTAACAAAAAAATGTATTACATGCTATATTTCCATATTGTTTTTAGGGTAGAAGCAATTTTCTATCTTCTTGAGCGAATAGCTGATTATATGACGGAAAATGACTCAGTTACGATAAGTCAGATTTTGGAACACTGTACATCACTTTTATCTTGGCACCTTACGGATGGTATTTATGGAGCAAGTCAGCTTGGAAAATCCCTGATGAATCTCTTTTATTCATTGTCGCATCTTATCTGTGCAGGGGCTGAAGCTGATAAGCAGGGAACAATTTGTATGGAGCTTGCATTGTCATTTATTGATATTACTGGTTGCACTGAAGAGGCACTCAAGAATCTAGAGAAATATGTTGAATCGCGGACATCACATTTAGATATCATGGATCGAGTGATTCAGAAATGTTACGAATATTTCAATGACAATCGGAAACCACGGAAACTGCGGATTTGTGCGCTTCGATGTTTAGGCTTTTCATTGGCTATACAAGAATCGGATTATGTGCTGAAAAGTCTGGATTCCATTCTTGCACCGCGATTAAAAATTCTGCAATTGTTTGTTGAAGGGCAAGTGCCTACAAGTTCGCAGTCAACGGAAAGTCTGGAAGAAGAATGTATTTTTGAGCTTGATGTGCTTTCCTCTCTGATAGGTACTCAAAAGATGCAAGCTATTACTTCTGTTAATGAAAGTCAATCAAAAGAAAAAAATCATTCAAAAAAGGCAGTTCACATTGTGCTGTGGCAATCCATGCCATTGCTGCTGAATTTGTTGCGGAACTTCTCATCTTCTAGAATTTTGGTTGAGAAAATTTGTGATGTTCTACGTTCAGGCTTGATAGCTGTTAATGATAATGCTGAAGCATTGCTGGACTCATACTGTGTTGTGCTTGATTTTATAATGTTAAGGCATCCAGTTGCTGCTTGCAAATTAGCAAAGTCAGTAGTTCTAATTTGTTCAAGTAACAATTTGAATGATTTCGTCATGAAACTTGCCGCACAAATGGCATCTTGGTTCAAAAATATTGACGAATCGGTGGAGGAATTTAGCGAAGAACATATAGAATTAGCTTATCATATTGTAAAGAAAGATTGGAAACTTGTGTGTACCTCACCATCATATGGATATACTTTTCTTCGAGCGGTGCTTAACATAGCACTGAAGGTCAGCTTTCTTTATTATTTGAAAATTTTTTCAATAAGATGCTAATAAGAAAAGTAGGAATTTTTTTGACTTCAGTTGTAGCATGAATTATTTTGCGAGTAAAACCGTGTTCGTCGTGAAGTTTACAGAACTCTTAAGATTAAGTATGCGAAGCCAGGAAATATGGCTTTAAGTTGTATGCTGCAAAGAGCATATAATGAAATCATGTTTTTAGATATTGGCTGGTAGTAAGGATACGAACCTATGCCGGAAGGGTTCAGTTCTGCTTGCTACAGTGATCAGAAATATAATCAATAGTGGTGCATTCACAGAAGTGCTTCAAGAAGCTGGCGAAAATCTCATTAGTGTTGTATTTAGCCGCCTACAAACTGAACTGATGAAATCAACAGCTGAAGCTCTTTCGGAAATTTTGATGTTGCTTGCCCGAAACTATCCGCATGAAACAAGGTTAAAATATTTCTGTGAGCTGCTATGTCTTTTGGCCTTTCGATCATTTTCTCCTTCAGAAGAGACATTGCTCATATTATTCTCGAATACTACCCTTCTGATTGCTTTACATTTCAGACAGTGCTTAAATGGCCTTCCATATGGTAATACTCAGGAAGTTGTTAATATGTTGAAAGAAACCCACAATGCAAGGATTTTCAAGAATATGGCATTACAATTCAATATGCAGAGACGAAAAGAAATTAGAATCTAATTCAAGATAAATTTTGCTGTTATGAAGGAGTCAGGATACAAATGGCCAAATATAAAAACTCTCATTTCTGATTACTTTTCAATAGTTCCGAAAATCTTGCAGTTGGCCTTTTCTCTTGTAAGCACTTTGGATTTCAAGTAATTCAGACGATTGCAAAACAAAGGATTATCAAAAAAGCGGGATTATCAGAAAAACAAAGATTATCAAAAAAGAAACATCATATCATAACTCATTTTGTAAGAATACTGAAACTTTGGCAAAAAAGGCATGGACGCTTCTCGGCATTGATGTTTCTATGCACATATATTCTGATCCACCTATCCTTTGTAAAAATTTTTTTGATGTTTCGGATGCATATATATATACACATATTCTGACCAATATGTTAATTGCCATTGTTGCTTTTTATTGGATTTGATCTAGTCAAAGTACTCAATAACCTTGAATTAGTGAGTTCGGTTGGTGTTTTTTGTTCCATTTAGTGTCTTTTATTTATGTGCAGCTGTAGATGGAGTAGGATTTTCTTATTTTTTTCCAGCAGAATCCATTGAAGGATGAAAAAGTTCTACTTTTGCCGAAGTATGGAACCATGTTTTCCGTAAGGTAGTCACTCATTTCGGGAATGCGAACCTTTCCACTGATTCAGTGTAGGGCATCTCCCGGTAGCACTAAGGTGGTAGGCTTGACCATTTTGTTGAATTGAAGCTTTTAAAATTGGGTCGTGTCTCTTTTTATTCCTACTTCCTGACTATTATTATCAACCTTGCTCATGTTGAAATGCCCAAGTCTGATCTGGTAGAAATATTTAATTGGTTATCATGGAGTTAACCGGTTGTTTCTTTCAACTCGTGCTATGATTTATACGATAAAGCAGGCATAAACAGACCTCTAGTTGTGTGCACTGTTCCTTGCCATTTTATATTTCTGTATGCTTAAGATTGGGAACATTTGTACTGTACATTGTAGGCTGTAGAAAACGATCCGTGAATAGCTTTTGTTGTGAAATTCATGCACCTGCCGGTGTGCAATCTCGTCCTTTAGACAATGATGAAGCGATTAGTCATGCGACACGAATTACCATTAGATTTTTTTACGTGATGGCAAGGAATAAGCACATGTAGTCCTTTCAGTTAGTAATAGAATGCTCGTGAAATGTGAATTATTGTCAAATACAAAAATATTTTACATAAAAATTAATGGATTCCACGCAGTCGTTGCAAAGCCGCATGTTAGCTTGACCCCATTTAGAGACAAAGCTGAAACCTAAGCAACTTAATATGCTAATACCGGATTTTACTTTAATGGAAGAAATGATAAAGACTCGGAAGAAGAGAAGTGTTATTTCTCATTAAGGCAAAACATATATATATAGTCCCCGAAACATTTTGAGCAGTTATTGCGATGTCACCTCATCCATTCATAGAATTATTGCCATTACTGAAGAAAGGTTTGCATCGATAGGCAAATATACGTTGGAGGAATATAAGTCAACAACAGTCATCATGCCCATCCTCCTATTGGTTGATTGAGGGCCTGTCTGTGTTGAGAAAAAAAATGTGATAATATTTTCCGCACTAATTTACACACTGTTGTCCTCGCTTTGATTAATTTCTCAAATTTCGTTTTTCCCATTCCTGCGAATTGCCTATTGCCCTATCTCATTACTTCAATTCATCAATAATAAAACAACACTGCCTTTTCAGTATTAACCATATGTGCAATTTGCAATGTGTTTCCCATGCATTACTCATACAATATCAGATCATATGTTTTACATATTCCCCTTGCTACTTTGATATTTCATCATATCATATTTATTATCAAAAAAAAAGTTTAAAGCGATGATAGCTCATTGGGAAATAACATCACTGAGACATGATGGAATATGAATCATTCATCTAATAAAAGATTTGCATTGAAAATGATCTATCATTATTTTTGATAGTCACCGATACACGAAAAAAAAAATCAATAACAGACATTAAACAGAAAGGTGTGAAGCAAAAGCATAGGCTAACTCAAATGTGGACAAATTTACAATTAGACGTTTAATTACATTTGCTGATATCTTCTGAATGTTCGTTCACCACTGATCAATTTTGTCGTTAAATAATGAAGGAAACCTAATAAGAATCAGGCAAGGAAAAGAGTAAACTGACTGAATCCCATAATAGCCATAAAATGCATCTTATGCGATTGGAATATTTCGGGAAGAATTGATGACAGACGTATTATTTACTTTTAGAGAAAAATAGTCTCTGTATGTAGGATCCGGTAAGCTGTTATGTTACAGGTAAAATATAAGGATAATGGAGTAAACGAACTAATTTGCATGCAGAACAGATAGAAGTAGTAGTGTGACCTCTAAACTTTCTGGGTTATATTTCTGATTTGGAATAGATATATTTCTTAAATATCTATGCCATCCATACATTGTTATTAATGAATCACTCACATCTCACAACTGTATTAGAGGAGCCATATATCATTTCTTTCATCTAACGTCAGCCTGGAATTCATGCCTAATCAGAATGTCCTATGTTTATGGCAACGAAGGTCAAGAATATACATCCTGGAGGGAAATGCTTAGCTCCTCCTCTTCCAGATCGCACCAACAAACTAGAGGTCATTTACCAGTGCAAGCCCATTTGGAAAGCAGTCGCTTCGCATTCTCAGTAGTTGCTTAAAGCCAATCTATGAAGCTCCTGTATCACTAGCCAATTCGCAACCAGGCCACAACTTAAAATCAGCCTGTGATTATATGATGACTTGTCTTATTCTCCCCGCTTGTTATCGATAAAAGACTATATGACCTATGACGCGGGATGGATAAGTTCCCATCCTTCGTCATAAGTGGTATACTCTTTCCTAACTTTATTTACATATTGGAAAAATTAACAAATAGACCGTAAGTTACCTTAAGTTACATATGTCTCTATTTGTCATCTAAAGCACAAATCAATCAATAACAAATCGATCGTAAGTATTGCCAGAGGGCAGGGGAATGAGAGAAAGAGGGTTGAAAGCTCTGTATGGGTGACTGCCCGACAAATCGATCGATATTGGAGGAGTGAAAAGAGGAGGGCTCAGGATTGGTTGCTATATAAGATGCCCAGTCTGCCTTGTAGACCATTCATTCGTTTGGTTGGCTGATTGGTGAGCGTTGTTCGGTTGCGGCGGGGGTAAATTTGGGCATTGGTGAGCGGGGATTTTGGTGGTTAATGGAAGTTGACTGGGGTGGTGGTTACGTGTGAATGGTGCGAGAATTGTAGGGGTTTTTGGAATTTATTGGTTCGGAAATCAGAAATTAGTGCGGTGACTGAGAAGTTGGCATTTGGGTAGAGAGATTTGTGAAGAGTCTAGGGACCAGTCGTTTTAATCTGACTTTATTTTAGAGAGAACAAGTTTTTTATGTTTTGCTAAGAATCGGTAGCTCAACACAGCCATTTAGAGAGAAATATTTCATTGTGCCATTATCTACTTCTAAATTTCTCCGGAAATCTGTTCCTTGTGGAAAAAGAAACAAGCCTTTGGAACTTGAAAATCTTGGTTAATTTTCAGCGCTTTATAATCGCAAATATGCAAATTTTCGTGAAGACATTGACTGGAAAGACGATCACTCTCGAAGTGGAAGCTTCAGATACAATTGAAAATGTCAAAGCAAAGATACAAGACAAAGAGGGTATTCCGCCGGACCAACAACGCTTGATTTTTGCCGGTATATACATTTTGATCATCTGCTTTGTGTATGGAGGCTGCATTTTTGTTGTAGTCAGAGTCAAATTAGTCAAATTATGATCATTTTGGTAGGATTTCAGGAATTCCAGTAATTGTGGGCTCACTGCATGGAAAACTTGTAAGTTGCAATAAGGAAAGATACGTCGTAATAATCTGTACGTTTAGGTAAGCAGTTAGAAGATGGACGCACCTTGTCGGATTACAATATCCAGAAGGAATCCACTCTGCATCTGGTTCTTCGGCTGCGAGGTGGTATGCAGATCTTTGTAAAAACTCTTACCGGTAAAACAATTACATTGGAAGTAGAAGCGTCTGACACCATCGAGAATGTTAAGGCGAAAATCCAGGATAAAGAAGGGATCCCACCAGATCAACAGCGATTAATCTTTGCCGGTACGTTTTCTTGAGGAGCTACGGATTCCTCGTCGATATTTTCTTCGGCTAATATGTCACTTATTTTATGTTATTTTATATAATGCGTCACTCTCTATACATATATATTTTATATTAGGAAGTATAAATCTATAAAAAATCGTGTACTGCCTATTTGTAACGGTAGTCATTTTATAGTATTTTGCAGGGAAACAGTTGGAGGATGGCCGTACATTGTCTGACTATAATATCCAGAAGGAGTCTACGCTCCATCTGGTACTTCGACTTCGAGGCGGCATGCAAATCTTTGTGAAGACGTTAACGGGCAAGACAATCACTTTAGAAGTTGAGGCTTCTGATACAATCGAAAATGTAAAGGCCAAGATTCAAGACAAAGAAGGGATTCCGCCAGATCAGCAGCGTCTAATTTTTGCCGGTACGCATGTGGTTAATTTTTGTTTAATAAATGAACATTTGAATCTTGGAGATGTTGCTGTTATCGTGACATGATTTTTAACGAGTATTTTTAAGGTAAACAACTAGAAGATGGTCGAACACTGTCTGATTACAACATTCAAAAGGAGTCGACATTGCATTTGGTGCTCCGTCTTCGGGGTGGCATGCAGATTTTTGTCAAGACACTTACTGGCAAAACAATAACGTTGGAAGTAGAAGCGTCAGATACCATCGAGAATGTGAAGGCCAAAATCCAGGATAAAGAGGGTATCCCTCCTGATCAGCAGCGACTTATTTTCGCAGGTATATATTTCGCGAAATTGTATGTATTGATTCTCATGCGGAATTACTTCGCATGACGATAGGGAATGGTTAGAGATGTTGATTTTAGGTTAGAATTTCTTGCTCTTTTGATGTGGCTTTTTTCAGGGAAACAATTGGAGGATGGTCGCACGCTTTCCGATTATAACATCCAGAAGGAGTCTACTTTGCATCTGGTGCTCCGTTTGCGCGGAGGAATGCAAATTTTTGTAAAAACTTTGACCGGTAAAACCATAACTTTAGAAGTGGAGGCTTCGGATACTATCGAGAACGTCAAAGCAAAGATCCAAGACAAGGAGGGCATTCCACCAGATCAACAGCGTCTGATTTTTGCCGGAAAGCAGCTGGAGGACGGTCGTACACTGTCGGACTACAACATTCAGAAGGAATCGACTCTACACCTGGTCCTTCGTCTTCGTGGTGGCTACTGATTTAATTCATACTTGCTGTAAATTTTTTTTAGAATTGATGAATGAAATATATTAAATTGACTTGGGGCCAAAATTGCAACTTCGAAATCTGAGAATTTCAAGCAAAAATTAAGTCGGGACTTTAAACAGTAACTTCTGGAATTGTGTCTTCTTTTTTTTGGAGGGGAAGTTATCGTTCTTCCACCTTGGAAAAGTGTCTGGTGATTTCTTTGATCGGGAAATGTCGGATTCCCCATAGTTTTTCAAATGAAATGGATTTCTCTTGTCTATGGATTTGTGAATAAAAATACATTCTTGTCACTCATGGAATATATGTTTCAATAGGACTGGAATGGTTGGGAAGATTAAAATTAAATGTAAAAACTATGAAATTTAAGGGTATGTGAGACAGAATTCAACGTTTGTGATTAGAAACCTACAAACAGCAGTTAACATTTCGCGGTATCAAAGGGCATAGAGCGGATATTCTAGAAAATTCGATGTTTTTCCAGGGGAAATTGTTTGACGTCATTGATTATGCAGTTGTAAAACAAGGAAATTATTATTGATTGCACAGTTGTGAAACTAGGGGGGCACCACGCAAAAATGTATTATGTTGATTGCACAGCTGTAAAACTAGGGGACGTCACACAAAAGTATTTGTGGTATCAGTTAAAGATTGATATCTACAGAGTACTTAATATCTGCACTGAACTTCGTTATAAAATTACGCGGATCGTCTCTCATGTTTAGGCTAAACAATCGCAGAGTATTATTTACTGCGCTAGCATTTTTCCTCGGGATAAAGTCACTTTGAATGCCTTTCCAAAAACGTTTCGTTCTACCCTTACAGGCTACTGTGTAAACAGTTCTGTTTTTCAAATCTTTATTTCATTGCGAATCCAATTCTGACGTTACACTTACTGCTCGTTTTATTTAAGCTTGTTAGCTTTAGATTAGCACTCATGGTTTGTGTGCAAGAAATGTTGTGGTACGGCCTGGGATGGATATCAATTTGCAATTACTCAAATTCAGTTAAAGTTCATACTTATTGTTGTCATCGAGTGTAGGTTCATGCTTCTGAGATGCTGATCGATATCTCTCTTCCGAACAAAATGCTATCAATCTTTTCGCCGTCAGCAGTATTATCTAGAAATTGTTGTTTTCACTTGAAAAATTGAAAAAGTTTAACAAGTGTAATACATATTCAGGCTTTTATTGCCACATTAGTGATTTGATAACATAGTACTGAAAATGTAATTTGCTATCGAGATACATCGTTCTTCGCACACTGACACGAATATTCAGTGCTTACAAATAGCGATGTTGCGGTGGGGAGGCGTTCATGAAGTTTAAAGTTAAGAGGTCCCAATATGGAGAAAGAATCCTTAAAACTTCTAGTATCACGTTTGGTTGCGGATGACATAAGATCGGATTTCTATGTTTGATAGACCACAATATATGTAGAAAATTTGCCCCATTCCTAGCGTTCACTGCAAACTGTCATATAATTCACACGTACGTTAAAAGCTGAGACATCGGTTCCTTCAGGAAAATAATGTTTCAGCATAGGTTCTAGAGTCAACCATCATGCAGAAAATACCTTCGAAGTGTTCTTGATAAATAACTAGTGGGCGTTGCTCAGATGCAGCATAACAAAAATTAGCTATCTTCAACTTCATGTTTCTACCGATCAGATAATTATTCTTCACTCTAACATATCTGAAATGAATAATGTCGAAAATTATCGGGATTAATAATAAAAAAACTGATTTCTCCTATAATTGTATAATGCAGGATCATATTAAATCCTAAGATGCAAAAAACTCAAATAATTCGTTTCCATGTTAGCCGTATCTTCGTATTTTGATGCTAGTCTAATAATAATGAACTTACCACTACGATTCTGAACAACTGTATATTGTCATCGAAACTTCAACAGGCATATAATCATCAGCTATGTTGGAAGATCTTTGGTAATTATTACTGCATTTAAAATCCAAATTTAAAACTTCAATTCCAATAATTTCATCTCATTTTCAAAGAAAAGAAAATGAATCTTATGGACATCATTGAAAAAATACATTTTATTTATACAATTTATACATACTTATTCGTTTCATCGTTATGATAAGGAGAAAGAGGATACAAACGAATTGGCATAAAATTACTCTCCATTGTTTCAATGCATTACTTGGAATTTAATACTTCAGTTTGATAGTTTAAGTCTTCGGCTTCTCATAAGAAAGAATTCCAAAATAAAGCAATGGAAAAGATAATTACATTAATTCCATAAATTTTATCCAACAGTAAGGCAAAAAAATGGTGAAAAAAGTAACAATATAGACTAAATCGAACAGAATAAAGTTTATAAGTGGATAGAATGTCAAATAAAATGAAAAAATGAAAACTGTGAACATTATAAATGAAATACTTTATTAAAAGTTTTGAGAATAGAATATATGACTTGTAGTAGGAAAGCTCTCTCTCTCTCTCTCAAATCATTCAGAAAAATACATATTAATCCAAAAAATATATATTACAAGAAATATTAAGAGGCACTAAAATAGTTTTACTAAATTATCTGATCCAGAAGTTGACTAGTTACATTTTAGTTTATAAGAGTCTTGAAAAGATCATCGAATGTATAACATATATGAATAGCATTTAATACGACTTATAATAATGTCGTGGAGGAAACACTAGCACGGGCGGAAATATAATGATAATAATCACTACCGAAAAGACATTGAAGAATTATTACAAAAGCACTGGTCTGCATTCTGCAAGTAACACTGTCTTCATGAAAGTCACTAATCAAGATCAAAACACTACTGCTTCCAAAGAAAAGCCTAGTTTTTACTCCTCTCACTTAACTTTCCAGTTGTACTGATATAAAAATACATTTGAAAATATCCCAAGATTAAAGTTATGACTTAACAATCGTAACCGAAGGAAGCAGTACACTTTGTACTTCAAAGTGTAAAAAAGGTGAAATGAAAAGTGTGAAAAATGCGCTACGTATAATAAGTCGATAAAAGACGGCAAGTCATTTTGATAATCGATATTGCAGGCTTAATGTAATCCCAGGTACGAGAGCTATTTACTTATCTAATACTTGCTCTTATGAAAGGTATCACAAAAAATTTTTGATACATTTCTTGCGGGTTTTTTTCAACTCAAAATTCTGAATGACCTTGCAAGATATAATTTCCATTTCTAAAGAGAAATTCATGAAAAATTTTTCTTAAAAGTTTTCTTCGCATATTGAAGCTCCATTTTTTTATTTCTGCGTCTCTTAAGTTTGCTGCAGTCCACTGAAAAGCAAGCATCCGCAATGAGCTTCGGTAGAGGTTTTTTACCCAAGTCTGTTTTTTCCTCATTTTTCATAGGTGGACGTTTTCCAAATGAAGGAAACGAAATTACAGGAAAATACAGAGGAAGATCAAAATCATTTGCCACACGACCTTGTCCGCCAGCTTCAAAAAACCTGAAAAACGTAATGATGAATCAAGAAGGAACGCTGCATTTCAGTCTCCATCAGTTTCACAGATGGTCTTTTTGCTGGATTGATTATATCAATTCATTTATTGGCTTCTGTATGATATTATCATGTGCTTCATTATTAAGCTTCCGTAAATGTCCTAATTTGCCAAAATTAAGATCTAGCAGAATTCGCTGAACTTGTAGAAAAAATATTATAACAAAAAGAACTAAAACATACCAGCCAAGCGGAAACCATAACCTCATTCGCTTATCGCTCCCTGCCAAACTGAATTGATATGCATATGCATGATAATATAAAAACATTCGAGATGAGATGCAGAATGCAATGAATACATCAATACTATAGTGTTCGTGACCAGCCAGAATGAAAAATATCCCGAACAGATTTAAAACCCAAGTAACTGTATGTAAACTATGCCATGAATCTGGTGTATCTGTAAAATGCTTCAATTTACTATCACTTAGCAAGAAACCGCATTTCTAATTCTGGAACTTCGTTTATTTGTCCATGTTCTACAGATTTACATGAAACTTTTTATTTTTACGTGATGTACCGACTTTAACTAGTCTACAAAGCAAAAGCATAATCCAAAGTAATCTCTTTACTGCGAGTGGTATAAGTAGAAGCATTGATGCTTCGTTGGGTTCTGCCCAAAAGTATATCACTACCAATAAGAATGGAAATAATCACTGCCAAATACGCCAAATCTTTAGGAAAAAGACTAAAACTATTTTTTTAATTGAATAATGACTACAGAGCAATTATCGCAAATAATTGTGCAAAACTACAACATTTAAAAGAGTGCTATATAACATTCAGAAATATTTCCAATCTTAGCGATGGTAAATCAGACTTATAGAAGTGATTTATTTCAACAAAAAAGGAGAGTATCTGCCAGCAATAGGTCTTGTGAACCTATGAACACAATATAAAACTTAGAAAAAGGGTATGAACTAACATTCAGTGATAAAGTGGTTTAGTAACGTCATTGCTGTTGTGTGTCCACTAAACATATAATCACCACATGATCGTACACCATGAATTGACATACCAAAGCGTGACCAGATATGGTAAGCCTGTTGCAGTCTTGCGACAAACGTACCATAACTCTGTTAAAATATTAAACTGATGAAAATCAATCCAATAATTTCTAACCATTATAAGAAACGTCACATTCGACTGAAAACATCACCACTACTCTTCAAACAGCACCTTAGGCATGAGGCTGGAACAATCGCCAATAAATAATACTACAACAGTTTAAAACAAAAATAATACCGTGTAGAAAATGAAGTCAAGAATGCTTTAATGAAGTCAACAACGATACTTTCTAAATAATTATAAATAGCTCCCCAAAAGAAAAAACACCTGTGAATGGCATTCCAAATGAGGACCTGGCACAGATAAGGATGTAATTAGCATTGTAACACAACGTAAAAGGAAGACAGTTCCAACCAACGAGAACATACGTCGCATTATAACGATCCTGAAAAGAAGATAGCAAAGTATTAAAAACGCTTGCATTCCTATTTTTTAAGTAGTCAGAACTAAGACTTCAAAATTTAGAAAAAACCGCTAATATTTCTACAGAAATACCTTCTCAAAGAATGCCTTAGCTATAATAATTTAAATTATATTTAAATTATTATAGGTTTTCTATAAATTTTATAAGCTTTCTATAAATTTAAGTTCTATCTATAATCTATATATCTATATGTTTTATAGATTTATTTTAATAGATTTATTCTATAAAAAACCTATATATAATTTTAACAAAAACTGTAAAAAAAATATTTCTTAAAATATGCCAAATATATCACTGTGAGTCCGAAATGTTAATAATCAACAGTTGTGTGTGCATCTAAAAGTTCCCACAGACAATTACATTTTTTTAAAACATGCTGAGCTGCACTATAACAATTGATTTTAATGATTCTCGTGGAACAAGAATAAATCAAATGTGAAGTTAATGACTAATTGCTAATCAAATTTGAAAGCAAATATGGTGACTATTATAAAAAATACCGATGCTTATGGAAGAACAAAATTGTGAACCATAGTAATGCAAGAAAAATCGCTATTCCTTCACATACTTGAAAAGCCCATGGTATTAGTGGCAAGTTATCAAGCACGATATCTGGTAAAGGTGGATACGTTTTCATATCTAAAATTTACTGGCAAATATTATTATATTATTAATAAATAAAGTTTACTAACGGATAGTTCAATACACGACCGTCATCAAGTCACTTTCAAGTTGTTCAACTTCATGAAAATTTTTAAACAAATTTCCCGCAATAAAAAGCAACTCACCTGGTACACGATCATGTACAAGAACCATTACAAAAGCAGTAATCAATAAAGAAGACGTACAGTAACAAAAAGCAATAGTTAATTTTATAAATGATTTCAATCTTGTATCGGGACTTTCCACCTGCAATCTGTTCATCAAACTATTCGGGATAATGTATGATACCATATGCTGAGGTTTTTTAAAAACAAGTTCATTTTTTCTTCGCGAGAAACATCAAGTGATTCGTACAACCAAAATGTTGACCATTAATTAAATTCATCAAAAATTTACCTTATGTTATAAAACGTGGAAAACTAACAAAAAGCGCAAAAAGAAATAATTACGAATACGAATATTCTACCTGTCGTATTAAATCGTCCCTGCTCAGCAGGTGCATTTGCTTTAACCGTCCCTCATATAATGAATTTGTAGCTACATCACCCAGAATACATTGTGCGGTTTTGCTGAAAATAAAGATTTTAGACAAAATTTTTAGACAATCAGACAAAATTAGATCTGAGCCTCATACGCTTTATCATTTGATTTTCGGGATAATCGTTACTAGCTCAAATGAGTATACGGCTGCCTAAAATGGTTAAAAAGAAATAAATATAGAGTAGTTGAAAATGTCTTATTTCACTCGTAGTAGCACGTTACTTAATATTAGATTGATGCTAAGTGACAACAGCTATCTTAATATTATGTTGATCTTGAATGACAACAGCTGTCTTAATATTAGATTGATGCTAAGTGACAAAACATAATAAAAGGAAAAATACGGCATAACAATACAGTAACCCTGCCTTGTTTTAGAAAAAGTTTTCGAATAAGGGCTTCCAACAGGCAACACTCCATTATCATAATCAATATTGACCGGAAGATCACAGGAGTCAGTTAATAAAAGATCACTATCAGGAAATGATAGTTGACTCCTACTGCTTTCGACAGCCAACTGAATACTTCTTTGCATCACTGACTGAAAAACATTTATAATTTTTAAATGCTAGTCAGAAACTCTCTGACCAAATAAGTTGTGCTGCATCACCAGGAACGAAAGCTATTCATAAATGAATGGTATGAAAACATAAGATATTTCAATGAAAAGCTTATGATAACTGTCGTTTGTATAAATTCTGGTCATCAGCACAACTTGAAGTGATCATAAAAATGTAGTTTTGCTGCTTTACCGACCGTATCCATGTTTTCCTGATTGCTTTGATTACAACTGCATCGATATCGTTTTGATTGCTTCAACTACAACGATAAACATGAGTTAGAAACAATGAATTCAGAATAAAAAAAACTTCCTTTATTCCCTCAAAATTTGCCGAACTATACAAATGCTGACCATTGCTCCTAAAGGCGTTAAGTCCGCTCTTAATCGCGAAATTGCCAAAGCAATGCGTTTGATGTCACCAAGACAATCCAATTCCAATGGTTTCTCCCGTAAATCGATTTCGGTTAGCATAAGCAATGTACGACCATCAATCTAAAACGTGTTTTAAGAAAGATAAAACTTGAACAAATCCACGAACATGTTTCTTTTTTATACAATAGCAAATGAGGTTTGAACTTGTTCTCAAACTCACGCACAAGTCAAATGCTAATTCACTACTTATTCGGTAAACAACTACTTGTGCAAACATACCTTATGCCTGTAAGCGATAATATTAGCATATTTCTCAAATCCTTGTTCATTAAGCCACGTAGCAACATCGGCATAACTCCATTCTTCGGGTGAAGTCGTGGCGATATGATGAAAATCATTGCTGCTGAGGGCATTTACAGTCTCGCACTTCCTCATGTCATCTTCATTACCGCATAACACATCGAAATCAGCCATCATCACTGGGTGAGGGAGCATGACACCCGAAGAAATATACTCTATGTTGGACTCTGCGATATTCACGACACTTATTAAAGACAAATAACTGAGCGTTTATAAAAGAGTTGTGGCAATAGTCGCAGAAGCAATCACATTGCTATGTTTACTAATGGGCCTATCATTTCATAAATACTACATGCCATATTTCACGCATCATCACATCTAACCTATGATCACATTTCACAAAACCATATTTTAATATGTAATTTCGTTGTCGGCTATTTTTATTAGTGCAAATACGTGACCTATTATTTACATAACAATACAGATACAGACACAGACACACACATGCACCAATATTTAAATATAGTTGTACATCAATTCCATCTTACTTTTTCCTCGAAATCATCCACTCATTCAATCACTCAAATTAACAGAAACAAAGTGAAATGGTTGAAAGAATTATCCCACTCATTAGTGTAATACAAAATTTGAGATCAATGGAGAGATAATAATGACCTCAAAAGAGGTGCTATTTCGATCAAATAATTTACTGACATGTGATATATTGACATGTAGGAGATAGTGTAATCAGACGAATAGGAATCTTCCGAATTACCGGCACCTCCCAAGTTCCAACTCTCCCATATTTTCCTTATTACATTAAGTCAAGGGATTCGAAGTTTCATAGTGGGTAAAATGGCAGCTTTGGCGGGATAATTCGAATATAGTTTGAGAGGCCCGTTTGCACATAACACTGATGTTGATAGCATCGGGTCAGACGAGACTGTCTTTGAGTTACAAAGTATTTGGCCTTTAAGGTCAGCCAATTGGTTACTTGAAGCTACGCACATAACAGGGTGGATATACTAGTGATCCGGTGATAGACTTATGACTTGTTAAGTGAATTTGTTTCAAATAGTCGTTTGTTGCAGTAGCATTTCTTTTGTTTGTTACAATTACTGTGCCATCGGATTAGATAAAATAATTTTATTGAGAACTTAATTGTGATCCTACTATGAATGTCATGAGCTTCTTGCATAAAAGTAATTCGTCTTGAATTTTTATGCATTATTAAAAACTGATTTGACGTGGGAAGGTGTTGCGGATTGAAATGGTGCGTGAGACAGGCCGTTGCAATGTATTCCCTTTTCGGAGGCGGCGAGGTCGGTTGCAGGCGTTAAGAATTTTAATTCTCCTCATTTTGAATGAAAGGAAACAGCTTTCGATTACAATACCACTTATGCCATTTGTAAAAAGGCAGGATGTCAACTGATTATTTCTACAATATTTAAGTTTGAAAGTCATTGATGGAACTTGAATTTTTTCCATTTAATGCGGAAACCCGAATGTTTGTCCATTCCTTCTTCAAGCCTGTAATTAAGCAGAGAGCTATATGAAGGAAACAATAGCATCTAGCCAACATCAAAAGAATGGTATACAAATCTAGCGCAAGGGGGTATGAAGTAATCTTCTGTCCATAATAATTTAACGAGAGCTGAACGATTTTGTTAATCTATTTACAACGTTCGTTTTACTATTGATACCTGCTGTTTGATATCGTGCCTGTCTAAAATAGGACTATAATTAACTTAATATTGGTCATGCAATTGTAGCGCATTGTGGACAATTGAGATTTTCAGGGTTTTGAAAATATTTCAGTCTTAGTTCTGATTTTCATTAATTTCTTCCTTTTGAGTGATTGAAGTTGTTTACACAGTAAGAAACAAAATATACAACTCATACAGTATTTTTGTGGAGTTTACGTTATCCGAAGTTGTTTCGTGCATGATTATATATTTTTTTAATTTTCTAATTTCAGTGACAATGTCGAACATAGATAAAAATCCTAAAACTGGCAAAAACGTACGCGTTGCTGTCCGAATAAGGTAAACAGATTATTCTTAGCGCAGTAATATAATTATTCATGTAGAATTAAAGTAAAAGATCGTGATGACATACAAATGAAATCTGAAGTTTTTTGAAGTAAAATCAATTACAAAGTAAGACGTATCAAGTTCAGACCAATGAATGATAACGAGACTGCCGAGAAGGCTCGTTGTTCACTAGTGGCAAATGCTCGCAAACGTACAATTACTGTGATTGATCGAGGAATCAATAAGGAATTTGGACCATTTGATAAGGTTCGAATTTAATTTTAAATCGGCCATTATTGTATCTTGTTGATCTATGAACCGCAAAATACCATTCGTTCTATTGTCATCTGAATCGAATTTTGATTGTAAAAAGGTTTAATCAGTCTCATTTTTTGGATTTTTCTGTTAATCAGTATGTATGTTCCTTGTCTTACAAAACTAGATTTTTAAGTTATAGCTGATATAATATGAAATCTGGTTGATAAGTTGCTTAACATTTTGATTGTTATTATTAGGTCAGTAAAACGTTCGATTTAGTTTCCCTTGTTTTTATATCGGATTTGTTTTCAAAATTCATTTGGTACCTGATTTTTTTGTTGCTGAGAATTATTAAGCTAAATATATATAAATTTAGGTGTACGGAACACAGGCAAAGCAACTTGACATATACTTAGATTTGGTCGAACCACTGGTTAAGAATGTTCTTGCTGGTTACAACTGTACCTTATTTGCGTAAGTGCTTATTTGATACCCTGTTATGCCTGGCTATTACTTGCTTAATTCTTGTTTTTATGACTTTTCCAACTATTTCATTTTTTTACAATTGTACTTACGCAGGTAAGTAAGAGTTGGTTTCAGTTATGGACAGACAAGCACAGGCAAAACATTTACAATGGAAGGTGAGCAAACCAATTCAGCTTATGAGCTTTCGTGGAACGAAGATTCTTCAGTTGGTATAGTACCACGAGCTTTGCAACATATTTTCACTGAATTGGAAAACCAGGTATGATTTGATAATGGAGAATTTATCATTTTTATCAATTTCAGTCACAAAATTTTGAGTGAAGCATATAGCCAATAATTTTCTTCATCCGTGTGTTGAATAAGTGTTCAGAATATTATTCGTTCAAGACCTTTTACTTAAGATTCATAAAGCATTTGATGACTGTTGACGTAATTCAGGGTGCAAATCTAATATCGCGTTTTTCTGCGTTATGATATTTGGGGCATTGCAAAAGTAATATTGTGTAGTTGGGGTGTTTCGAACATCCAGTAAGAGAATTTGTACAAATCCAACTAAAGCATATTATCAAAGTTTGAAGGATGCGGAAGAGTTCTCAGTTCGTGTATCATATGTTGAGTTGTACAACGAAGAATTGTATGATCTGCTTGGGAATGGTGAGTTGGGTCATGCAAGATTGCGCCTCTTCGAAGATTCTGTTCGAAAGGTAACAGATTTTACATTTTCTCAACATTGTAATTTACTTAACGTTTATAAAAATTGTGCAAACTAATATATTCTAGATAAGTTTAGGGCTCGGTAATCGTTAGTGGCTTGGAAGAAGTTCCGGTGTTTGACCGTCTTGAAGTTCGCGAATTACTGAAAAGAGGTGCAGAAAAACGACGAACTGCCGCGACTCAAATGAATTTGAATTCAAGGTTATGATGGAATGAATAAATTTCTTCAGCCGTTTTAAATTTATAAACGGAACATTTTCCTCTCACTTTTGGTTTTAGCCGTTCTCATACCGTTTTCACAATAACAGTTGTAATTCGAGAAAATACTGTGAGCGGGGAAGAAGTTATCAAACAAGGAAAGTTAAGTTTAATTGATTTGGCTGGTTCGGAAAATATTGGTCGTTCCGGTTCCATCGACAAAAGGGCTCGAGAAGCAGGTTGGACTTCTTTTTATTTATGTATATCTAATTAGTCGTTTATTTGAAATTTTTGCTTTCGTGAAAGTTTAAGTGTTTGTACTAATTTTAATATCTTGCACTGGTATAGGAAGCATCAATCAGTCGCTGTTAACACTTGGTCGAGTTATTATGGCTTTAACTTCGGGAGCAGGCCATGTTCCATACAGGTAATCGTTCAGGTCGATTTTATGTTTGTAAAACGCTAAGTTATTTATGTAAAATTCTTTATATCTCGTGCGGATTAAAATTCTCGCCAATTTGTCGTTTTCCACTATTTTAACAGTAAGTCTAAATCGAAAGGAAACAATTGTACAACTTTATATTTGTTATCGAGTGCATTATTGCTGTGCCGTTTCATAATTGTACGGGTTGAGGTATGTACTAACTCTTGCAGTTCTGTACTGCACATCAAATTGAGAAATTTGAGAAATTGAGTATAGTAGGTACTTTTAAAAAGTGAAATCATATATGCTGAATAAATTAATGTTTTAGGGAGAGCAAACTTACGAGAATTTTGCAAGATTCATTGGGTGGGAAGACTATTACTACTATTGTAGCAACATTGTCGCCTGCTTCTACTAACATTGAAGTAAGTTGTCGCGGTCAGGTGTGCATTTTAGTTTCAGTTTAATAGGATTATAAATGATAGATTTTCATTGCGATTCCAAAGATTTGCGGTGTAAGAAATTTTCTTACATTGTTTTTTCTTTATTTGTTCAAATTGTTTGTTTAAATAATTTTGTTAGTTTAAATTTCTTTGTTTAAATTTTGCTTTTTCTTTATATTCCTCTTCGGTTTAGGAATCGATTAACACATTGGAGTATGCATCAACTGCAAAGAATATTAAAAATCAACCTGAAATAAACCAGAAATTGACGCATCGTGCTTTGCTTAAGGTATATTCATATCACTGAAACTGATCAAATTTAGTGAGTGAATTGGGAAGACTGGCACAACAATTATAGCAGTGCTATCATGTATTTTATCTTATATATACTCATTTGTCTTCATGCATCGTGTGAAGTGGTTTCATTTTTAATTAAATAATTTTTAGCTTTCAGAAGTTGCACACATTTACAGTCTACTTTTCTCTAGGCGTACAATGATGAAATGAACCGTCTGATGCGCGATTTACAAGCTGCACGCGATAAAACGGGTTTCTTTATTGATCGTCAAAATTATGAGTGAGCTTCATTCTTGTGTTTTATAGCCAGATACATATTTGTTAAGAATTTTTAATATTTGATTCACAATTTGCCATGTTTCAGTTTATTTCTATAAAAATTTCATTTGATAAATAATACCCACTTGCAAACTTTTGAAATGGATTTGTAGAAACATGAGTACTCAACTTACTCAACAGAGCCAGCAGATTGAAGCACTCACTGATGAATTGCAGTCAGTTCTTGAACGCATCCAGTTGGCAAGCTTTTATATCTCATTGGATTTTTTTTTCGTGAAATACCTAATTCTCTACTTTTGTTAGAGGCAGTTTTCTCCATTATGGTAACATAATTTTACAATTTTGTTCAATGCCCATCTAGAATAGCGTACATCATATATTACGTTTTATGTTTCAATATTTTCTAACAAAAAGCACTCGGAAAATGTGTGTTACAATTTGACTGCTATGTATTGAAATACCAGGTTATTTATTTCTGTTTTTTATAGCTAATGCAAGATGCAGAATTCTTGGGCCAGCATTATGGTCGTCTTTATGAACGTTATAAACATATGGAACAAAAATACGAAGAACGTTTCAATGAAAACGCACAGTTAAGTTTGGTAGGTAATATTCATATCTATCAATTTAGAAAAATTAAAAAATGATCATGTTGATAAAGATCATGTTTTTAAGGTCTATTATTCATATGGAAATTTTGATATAATCATTTTCATATCACGTTTTCATATTACATATTACATAAATGATACTAAAACTGCCGTAGTGGGATTCTTCTGTTTCAGTGGTCTTTTCCTTGTTTCAGTCATCGTATAATTTGGATTTGAAACAAAGCTTAACATCTAAAGGCATTTTTTATTGCATGCAACAATTCTGATAAGTCAGATTTACTGATAGCAAATTAAGTTTAAAAAAATATAAAATTTGAAGGAGTTAGCGGACTGCAAGTCGAATTTGGAGAATCATCAGTCTGTTCTGAAGAAGCTACAAGAATCAGCGAATCGAAGCCAAGAAGAGAATAGGCAGGCTAGTATTAACCATTCAGAGAAATGAAAGATTTTAAATCTATAAAACGGATTTTTGTGCTCTAGTTTTAGATTGTTCTTGTGAAATAAATTCTAAACCTAAGATCGTTTTGTGTTACAGCTCCGTCAAAAATGTTCACATTTGGATCGGGAGTTGGGTAGAACGCACGACAAGATTGATGTCTTCCGTAATGCGGCAAATAAAAATGAAAAACTGTATGTTCAATGTACAAGAGATAGCGCACAAAGTGCTAACAAGCTGAAAGAAGGTGTTGAAGTTTGGAATGATATGCTACAATCGGAAATGAAGAAAATAATGGACTGCTGTGGTGAGAGTTCGTCCATCTTTTTCTTTTATTTGTTGTTTTTCAACTAAGCAAATCAAACTAAGCATATTAAGTATTGGTGATGATATCAAATGCCGACTGCTTTTCAACATCATGCATATGTAATAAAATATGGAAATATGAGGCAATATTTTCAGAACGAACAAAATCGAATGTGGAGAAAGATATACTTGCATTTCGGAACTGTATAGAATTGCTTCGTTCGCATTTGATAGCTTTCTTTACTGGTTGTGGGGTAATTTTAACGTTTATTTTCAAGGTTGGAAGCATGCGAGATTTAGAAAGAGACTGTGAAACTTCCTAAGCATACTAGGAAAATCTTTATGATAAAATATGGCGCAAAATAAGGAAAGCTACCGCTTATTTTTTAGAACATATTTTATTTGTCTTTCTTTCTAACTGTTTTGAAAATCATATATTCTATTCAGGATAGCACCGATAACTCAGTTGTCAGTTTTTTAAAAGAAGTCTGCATGTTCATCGATGGTGCTCAGAGTCATCATGAAAAATTATACGATCAGCACAACAAATTTATTGACTTTGTAATGAAGCATGTGAGCCATATTTCGAATCAAAAACGTATCTATATTTAAATGAATATAAACTAAAAAGATCCCACAATTCTAGCATTCTTTCGAAGCTCTGAGATTGACAATAGTGTAACAATGAGCAATTGCACATGTAGAGAGTAAAGAGCTTATTTGTCGTGCTTGCATAGTTTTACCATACTGTTTCATGCACTGAAACGACGAAGAGAAACACAACTTTTAACATATTGTTTCCGAGTTGTAGGGATTTTGCAATGATTCCAGGTAGAAGAGTATGAATCTTTGGGAAGGAATTGTTATGAGGTTTCCACGAATTACACCGATTTTACTATGTCACTGGCAGAAAAAATAAAGCATATGGTAAGCATGTTTTATACGTAGGTGAGCGTGTTTTATCTATTATTAACTGTGCAAATTGTGTAAATAAATAGAAAAATTTTTTTTTTTTTTTTATATTTGGATTTATAAACCCAGGTTTTGACACTGACATCCTTTTGGCTCGTGTGATTTAATTCGAACATATGATTTAATTCTCGGGGCTTTTCTTAAAGATGTACATTTTCTTTAGTTCAATTTTTATTAGTAAAAGGGATACGTCAATTGTTCTTCATCTTCACTAACTTTCCATCTTTCCACTATTTTTTTAATGTGTATTTTATGTTAGGTTACTGATGTATTAGAAACATACATTGAAACGACGAGAAAGGAAACACTGCAAATGAGAGAGAAATTGAAATTGTTAAGGACTGAACAACAGTCTGCTTGCGAAAGGCAGAGTGAATATGTGAAAGCTGCTGTCGACGAAACATGTTCCAACAAAATGGCTTGGGAATCATTTAAACTTTGTTTTTCTAAGAAAGTCACTTCTCAAAGAGATCATCTCAATGACGTAAGTTAAAAGATTTTTGCTGCGTTGTTTAGTGTTTTTTGCCGTTTTATTAATTATTTGATATACATACAACATTTCTTTTGGACATACGTTGATAGTAAACTACTTCAGACACACAGATCAATGGAAACGGTATGTAGAGATTTGCAAGAGCAGAGCAATGTGGTGTCTGCAGAGATAAACGAAATAGCAAACTCAAATACAGATGTTGCCATGCATCAAGTAACGAATTTTTTTCACTCTGATCTTTTACAGTTTATCTCAGGTACAAAAACTTTTTCCATCTGCGAAGTTGTTTTTTTATAATTTCATCGATAATTTCATTTTTTCAAATTTAGATGGAGCTGAGTGGACTGTCGTCATCATCATTGCTTCAAGAAGTAAATAAAGCACATTCTCGAATAGAACAACTTATTGGAAAGGATATTATTCGTCCATCCAGCACTGGTAGGTTTTGTCTTATCTTAATTTTATAGTATGTGTTGTTTAAATTTTTAGGAAAACAGCTTATTTTGATGTTATTGTTTTATTATGAATTGCTTCTTGGTGCCATTATTATGCAATAAAATAAGTGACATGGAAATATCTCTGTGAAATTCTGTCATGCATGCAAAAATTTTGCATACCGGTGCACCCAAGCAATAAATCGAAAGTTTCTTCCTGTCACCTATTTAATTTTATGTTGATTCCTTGGAAAGTAAAGTATAATTTAAGGCGAAACACCTGTCCGTAGGGAGCAGATAGTACTCCCTGAACCAGTTGAAATTCCGGATGCAAATGAGTTAATTAACAAAACCAAGGAAAACGAAGTACCACGAAGACTAAGTCAGTACCGGGTGAGCGATAAATTTTCACACTGGATAGTAACTGATTTCCTCCTTTCACTAAGAGGTTATTTATGCCATATGATCGAAATTAATGTTAAATCTTCCTTGATATTCCTCTCCATTTATCATTACTTGCAGCCGCGTGATTCGATTCTTGAAGCGCCATTTGCCATTCTCTCACCAGGAGCCCTCAAACAGACATTAAAATGCGATCTGGATGAAATTGCTGAAATACCTGAAGTAAGTTTTTTCTTTAGAAAGATTTTGATCTCATATTTGCCTCAGGTGAAAAGTTTTCACTAAATTAGGAAAATTCATTGGATATTCATTGGAAAATTCATTGAATTTTGTTCACAAAATCAAAATAAAATGATCATTTGCTAAATTTTAAATTCTGGATAGCAATTCTTCTTTTCAGAATGGTAGTGAATGTGGTGGTATAGCTGTTAGAAAGCAGGATGATTCGGTGGCAAACATCACGAAAAGACGACGCGCTTTTCAGAATCGAAATTCATGATCTAACCGATAATTTATGCAAATTTTCAGTTTGAAACAAAATCAATTGAAATTCCATCATTCCATAACTTCATCAGTTTGTGAATATTGAAATTTCTTCAGTATTCCATTTATTGAACGAATGTTTGGCTAAAATTTGATTCACAGAATTTCCTGATTTGAAAGCCTAAGAAAATGTTGCTTCTGAACATATGCTTCTGAGCATTGCTTCCCACTGGATTTTCTTAAAAGAGTACTTTTAATTTTTTCGTAACTGATGAACATAAATATATGTTTTGGCGCCTTCCATTGTTGTTGATATTACATTTGAAAATGTGTCTCATAATCTGTATATTTGTTTTCTTTAATATTTTTAAACTGGTTTATCTTACAAATGATAATCATGCGCTCAATGTCCCGAAGTTGGACTCGTGTACTTCGGCTTTTTTTATTAGTTTGGAGTATAGCAATATCTTTTGCTACATTTTACTCATTAAAGTATATTTCTGTAGAATTAGAGCAATGATTGCAGGAATACTTGTTTAATTTTAAATTTAATTTTTAGAAATTTTTGAAAAGCATTGGGAACATTCCAGACATCGTGAGACGAATATTGTTTTAATTAGAAGTGATCTCTCTTCTTCCTTGCTAATCGCTATCTTTTCTGTGACTGTGTGATCATGTCCTTTCATTATCAGTAAAGCATTCTGAGCAGATAGTTCGTCTTTTTAAGGAGTTAAATATGTTACAACGAATACATAGATCGAAAGTTACTTCAGTTTGTGTTATCGATCCATTAAATCCGAAAATTTTTTTATTCGCCGTTGATGAATCGTGTTATTTAATCACAGGATAGACAGATAACAGAAAGATCTGTGTCCAGAATAAAAGTATTAGTCCAAATTTTGCTAGAATTGTAGAAAGATTCGACTAATTTAAATAGCCTTTAATATACGCTTTCAAAACTCTCGTAGCTTTTGTTTAAACACCTATCAATCGTGATATTTGGATGGGAAGGATGTTTCACGTTTTTGGTTAGGATTGATGATTTTATTCATGTAATTTTAAAAAATTTGCAGGGTCGATGTGAGTACGCTTAGTTGTGGTAATATTGAATGGATAAATTTATCGATGATTAGCTTTCAATTAATATTACAGCAACAGCTTAGAAGTGTAAGATTTGGTAAACGGTACAAATCAAAACGAACATTGAGATGTAATTCAACTACAGCAGGCTCACCAGACGAAGACGAAGGAATTTATATACCTAGGAAGCCGATCCCTTCACCGGTTAAATTTTGAAACATACTTTATGTCCATCAATTCCAAACGATACTTTGTACCAGTTTTCACGCTATTGTGGAAACTTAAATAATTTATCTAGAAAATACGTTTGTTCATATATTTATTGTGGAGGAGCCAACATTAAATGATCCTAGCAAATGTATTTGATTAAGCTGGGATGTGATTTTGTAATATTATAAACTATGGTTACGATTGCTCCATTTAGCAGTTGGCCATAACGAACTTTGAGCTTATATTATAGTTCACCGAAAGGTCATATAATTGTAGACTGAAAAATTTTAAATAAATTCCTTCTGACAAATAATTTAATCATGAAATGTGATTTAACTAGAACATCTTTGTATATTAAAACAAAAATTTTTTGGTGATAATGGTATTTCTGGAAGTTTATTATTAGATACAGATTTTCTTTTCACAGATCGACCAAAGTAAAGTGGAGGAGCCTCCGGTGTTCGACAAAGCCCTCATCACTCATCTGGAAAGACTTTCCTTGATACGGTTCAGTGATGAGCAGGCAGTTTTTAATTTGAAACAAGCGGTACGATTTGCCAATCAGCTAAAGTTGGTTGACACAACGGTAAATCATTTTTAATCGTGGAGCCATGCTTGATCAAAATTTCTGGGATTACTTTTGATGTATTTTCAGTTTAATTAATTAATGTAGGTGCATTGCACTGAAATGTAAGTAATCTTGAAATCTTTGTATAATGTATACGGGCTCGTTTATCATATAAATTTTGAGTGAATCAGTTTCTACAAAGTCTTATTTAATGGAGAAGTAAATTATTTTTTAATTGATTGACGTCAGTTTTTGACGAAAATGGATTTTTGATTTTTCTGCAGTTCTAACATATTCAAAAAAAAAAAATCATTTATAGGGCATTAAACCGCTCGAAACTTTGCTTGAAGACGTTCCGTGCCCACTGCGAGAAGATATCGCGGATAATCCTATGACCAAAGCTGAAGTTTTGATGAATGCTGCCAAAATTGTTGAAGATTATTTTGTTGCACCACCCGGAAATTTACCACTGGAAGAATCCGATAAGCTGAATTTGACGAAAGTTGAAGATTGTGGCCAAAAAGTGATGGATAAAAAGAATTTATTGAAGGATTCTAGAAAGAAAATAACAAAATAATTTTAACCAAAGCGGAATGAGGCCTTCGGCATTGTAAATATTTTGATGGTGCAGAGAGATAATGATAACAGATTATTAGAGATATTGAGTAATCATAAACGTGTTTATTTTCCGTTGCATGTTTTATTGCTATTGTTCTGTCGGTAAATACTTTCGCAAAAAGCGAGCAGCTTGACTTTTTATCAAGTCATAGGAAGTCAAAATAAAATTTGAAGAATAGTAGCCTTTAGTGATATCCTTTATACATTTTGCAGTATGATCTCATTGCCAAGTTTGTTTATAACTGGTTGACTGCGGATCATATGCTGACCGAATTTTTAGACAAAATAGAATTAAATAAACAGTAGATTTTTCCCTAATTTTTTATCTGCAAAAATGAATTCTTCCGACTTTTTATTGAATTTTGAAACAAAATCAGAAATTTGTAGACTCAATGAAGTGACAGGAGAAATGTTTAATTGTTAGATTTACCTGAATACTAATTTAAAAATTTGCTTTGTTTCCTGTGCAATTTCCTCTCTACGAGAGCGAAAAATAATGCGAGATAAAGATACTAGTCCTAGTGGTGTAGAAACATTCATAGGAAAAGAATTTTTAACGCGATATGAAAGATTATCACAAAAAATGTCAGTTAGCAGATTTTTGCAGAATAAAAAATTCTCTTCTACATTAAATCGTTGTATTCTTCGTTAAAGAAAAATAAGCTTTCGAAATATTTCTGTAGAAATTGATAGTTACTTCAATTATGGTTTGAATTCATATTTTGTAGGTGATAACTATATTTGGTTAATGTTACTGAAATGCAATTTCTGTCATCTCTTTCTAAGTACTTCTCTGGATAATTTAACATGCCAAAGACCAAATTGCGTAGTCAATTTAGGGTTCGCTGCAAGCAAAGCTATTAAAATTAAAAATTGACAACTTAATTGTGTACGTTAAATCATAGGGAAAATACTTTGCAAATCATCGCAACTTAAGAAATTTAGATAATCATATTTTAGCATATTCAAATTTATTCAAATCGTGAAATATTTCATGCTCCCATACATACTTGATTGTATAGGTCTCACTTTTTTAACGTAATTTCAGTTTGATATATTCAATCTGTTCAAAATTATTTTTTTTCACATCCCTGATAATACGTGAATTGAATTGCTTGAGGAACGTGAATACGTGAATTGAATTACTTAAGGAACGTGAATATGTGAATTGAATTACTTGAGCTCACTTGACAGTTTATTCTTTTTTTTTGCTCATTCAATATATAATCGAATGATTGCATTCTCTACGATTAAAAATTAAACATATAGCTATGTTTGTTTACAAAACGGCGAATAATAGAGTTGTTTTTATTTCTTCGCTATATCACCATACTGTTTTGTCTTCCATATATTTCAACAAGTTGATAGGATGGAATAAAATTAAAATTTATCTCAGATAGACATTATATATATATATATATATATACATTGTATATTATGTAGGGTATAGTTGGAATGATTGGATATGATATGAAGCGCAAAAACTCTATGCTTGTTTCACTATCACAAATTATAGAATGAAATAAATTTAGACATTAATTGAATTCGATCTCTTTCTCTCTCTATACAT